CATCCTATATTCTTGTCCACTTTTATATTGTTTTATTTTTGTACATGAAATCATCTTGGTAAATAAATAAAAAAATCTCGCTGGATTTTTAATTTGAAAACGTTATTGCCAAAAAAGACTTCTTCTGTCAGGCTTCTTTTCAGTCAAATAGGTGCAATCTTCCGCGGTCCGTTTTCAAAACTCCTGATAGAAATAATAAATAAATAATTTCTCAAAGATCTTAACTGAAATAAAACCCTGCATACCTTGCCAGTTATTTAACCCCTAAAACTCGAGCGTTACGTCATCGCCAATAAGAACAAACGGCGCCCAATACTTCACTCTGCTAAAGCGGTTAGATTCTCTCAAGGATTTCATGGCTTCATTCAAGGCCTCACCAGCCCTCCTTCCATTGACAAGTTGTCGGTAGAAATGTTTCATGAACTCCATAGTAGCCTCGTCGTCAATCGCCCACAGGGATACCAGAACAGAACGAGCACCAGCACCCAAAAACGCCCTCGCGATTCCAACCACGCCCTCAGCCTTGACCTCTCCATGAGCACTATGACAGCAACTAAGCACAACAAGTCTTGCGCTAATCTGCGCCTTTAAAACATCCTTCATAGTTAAGACATAGTCCTCTCTGACGGGAATCGAGGATGATCGTGCCAAGTTGGGGGCCAAGGCAATTTCTCCTGTGTCCATTTGACCGTGAGCGGCAATGTGCACCAATTCAACCGAGGAGATGCGTCTTAAAACTTCATCTTTTGTTGCCTGTTTTCCGATAAGAGGCTCAGTTTGAAGAATTTCCCCAATCATCTTCACTTCCTTCTCAGCCCACTCCAACTGATCTCGACCTACTTCCTCTACCCACGGATCGCCGACGAGAAGAGCATCAGTCGCACTGTGCCAGTCGTCTGGGCAATTTGAGATTAATTGCAGACTAGAAAGGGAGGGAAGCAGTCGGATTCTGAATGATTCGCAAAGGTACTTTGAATCTCGGTCCATAAAAGCAGCAAAAGGTGCCAAAAACATAGGGCCTTCAGGAACGAGCACAACTTCATCTCCCTGTAGTAGGTCTCTGATAGGGTCTATAAAAATATTGTATAATGTTTGTAACGGATTTGTCTCAAGACTCGAGGGATGAGATCTTGGTCTGGTAACTCTTTCTTCTGCTCGCTGTTCATCTCTCGGGTTCCTTAATGAGCGATCTTCACAATAAACATCAACATTCACACCAATTTTCTCTTGTGTTGTCTCCAACAGAGAAAGAAGATAACTCGTGACGGGAGCACAATAAACATCTTCACAATAAACATCATCATTCACACCAATTTTCTCTTGTGTTGTCTCCAACAGAGAAAGAAGATAATTCGTGACGGGAGCATCAATCTGCCTTCTTCTAGACCTGACTTCTTTTCCTCTTTCGTTCACCCAAAAAATTATTCCTTCCTCGTTGATTCCGATGAAAATTGTATTTGATGGCAGATAATTAAGGACGTCAGGGGTAGTTGCAGTCAGTGTTCCTATTTCTCGACGTGATCCTTTAAGTCCGTACTTGATTTCAAGAAGATCATTCAAGGCTTGTGCGCGGCCCTGATCAGCGGTTAAAAGTGCCTCGACAACTTTGCCTTGCTTTAACAGCAGCCGCCATAGCTTCGAATGAGCTTCATCGTACGTATTGCGTAGGCTTATCTTCCACTCATCATTAGATATAAGGTTACTCCTGATGTGGTTGAACGTTTTGACACTGTTTTCATAGTAATGAATGGCTTCTTCCAACTCGTCAAGACTGTCATAGACGCTGCCAATATTACTATACACTTTTCCTTCTTGTATCCTGTCTCCGACCGCTTTTGCAATCTTGAGATGTTGTTCGTAGAAGTCGATGGCTTTCTGGAAGTCTCCAATATCATCATAGGCGTTGCCAAGACAACCGTACGCTGTTCCTTCTCCTGACCTATCTCCGATTTCTTTGGCAATCTTAAGATACATTTCATAATGGTTTATTGCTTTTTGGAGGTTTCCAGTACCTTTGTAGGCGTTGCCAAGATTTCCATAACTAATTCCTTCTCCTGCCCTGTCTCCGACTTCTTTCTCAATCTTAACACCACGTTCATGGTATTCTATGGCTTTTTGGTATTCTCCAAGACTGGTATAGCAGTTGCCAAGGTTACTACACGCTTTTCCTTCTCCTGCTCTGTCGCCGACTTCTATGGCAATCATAAGATCTTGTTCATGGTATTCTATAGCTTTTTGAAATTCCCCAATGGTGCGATAGGCGTTGCCAAGAATACTGCATGCTATAGCTTCTCCTGCTCTGGCTCCTACTTGTTTAGCGATCTTTAGATCTTGTACACTATAGTCGATAGCTTTCTGGATTTCTCCGAGACTACGATAGGCGATGCTAAGATTACCATACGCTTTTCCTTCCCCTAACCTGTCCCCGACTTCTTTGGCAATCTTAAGATGTCGTTCATGGCACTCAGCCGCTCCCCTGAAATCACCGAGACCAGTATAAACGTTTCCAAGATTACCATAAGCGTTTCCTTCTCCTGGTCTGTCTCCAACTTCTTTGGCAATCTTTAGTTGTTGCTTAATGAAGTGTATGGCTTTTGGAAATTCTCCAAGACTGCGATAGGCGATGCCAAGATTACCATACGCTGTTCCCTCTCCTGTCCTGTCACCAACTTCTTTGGAACTTTTAATATGACATTCAATGTACTCAATGGCTTTTTGGAACTGTCCAAGATTGAGATAGACTGTACCAAGATTGCCATAGGCTATTCCTTCTCCTGCCCTATCTCCAGTTTCTTTGGCGATCATGAGATGTTGTTCATTGTAGTCTATGGCTTTTTGGAATTCTCCCAGACTGCGATAGACATTGGCAAGATTACAATAAACTTTTCCCTCTATTGCCCTGTCTCCGACTTCTTTTGCAATCCCCAGATGTCGTTCATGGTAGTCTGCGGCTTTACGGAAATCTCCAAGACTGTCATAGTTGATGCCAAGGTTACCATACGCTTTTCCTTCTCCTGCTTTGTCTCCGACTTCTTTGGTGATCGTAAGATATTGTTCATGATAGTCTATGGCTTTCTGGAATTCTGCAAGGCTGTAAAAGATATTTCCAAGATTACGAAGTTTATATGGCAAAACACAAACTTTGTTTTAAAAACCCAGGGCCCCCGTGTTATTTTTGTACAAAAAGAGGGCCCCGAGGGGGGAAAAAAATGGTTTTGGAGACCCCCCCCCCCACTTTTTTCCGGGGCGGGGTGGCCCCCCCCCCCCCCCCCCCCCCCTTATCGAAAGGTCTGGATCCGCCACTAACAACAACAATCAATCTCTCCTCAGGGATAAAGAAATCCTATCTTTGAGAGGAAGTCTCCACTCAGCAGCCGGAAACTAACTTCATCTTTAAAAGAAAATCCAGGTCTTGCTTCTCTGTATTTGCTTTTGTAACTGTGGTACCTACACAACACAAACAGTAGGAAGCAATGTTAACAAGGTAGGAGAACTGATAAAGGTAGTGAACTGTAACCAGTGAAAAAAATCTTTTAAGCCTGTTAGATCTTTATAAACAGAAATTAAAAACTTGGCACTTCATCGTATCATTTAAAGGGGCTCATTGTGTCGCGAAGATGTTGCTATTTTAGCTAAATTATGTGCTAAAAGTATTACTTAGTACCTTAACCTATACGTAAAATGCTCCTGCTGACTTCTAAAAACTTATGATATCCAAAAAAATTTCATCAAGGAGCACTAACCATAGAACATTTTCTGGTGGTTTTTGCAGGCATATCATGAAAACGCGAAAATTGGTCCATTTTGTCAAGTTTGAATCCATGTCCATCCTATATTCTTGTCCACTTTTATATTGTTTTATTTTTGTACATGAAATCATCTTGGTAAATAAATAAAAAAATCTCGCTGGATTTTTAATTTGAAAACGTTATTGCCAAAAAAGACTTCTTCTGTCAGGCTTCTTTTCAGTCAAATAGGTGCAATCTTCCGCGGTCCGTTTTCAAAACTCCTGATAGAAATAATAAATAAATAATTTCTCAAAGATCTTAACTGAAATAAAACCCTGCATACCTTGCCAGTTATTTAACCCCTAAAACTCGAGCGTTACGTCATCGCCAATAAGAACAAACGGCGCCCAATACTTCACTCTGCTAAAGCGGTTAGATTCTCTCAAGGATTTCATGGCTTCATTCAAGGCCTCACCAGCCCTCCTTCCATTGACAAGTTGTCGGTAGAAATGTTTCATGAACTCCATAGTAGCCTCGTCGTCAATCGCCCACAGGGATACCAGAACAGAACGAGCACCAGCACCCAAAAACGCCCTCGCGATTCCAACCACGCCCTCAGCCTTGACCTCTCCATGAGCACTATGACAGCAACTAAGCACAACAAGTCTTGCGCTAATCTGCGCCTTTAAAACATCCTTCATAGTTAAGACATAGTCCTCTCTGACGGGAATCGAGGATGATCGTGCCAAGTTGGGGGCCAAGGCAATTTCTCCTGTGTCCATTTGACCGTGAGCGGCAATGTGCACCAATTCAACCGAGGAGATGCGTCTTAAAACTTCATCTTTTGTTGCCTGTTTTCCGATAAGAGGCTCAGTTTGAAGAATTTCCCCAATCATCTTCACTTCCTTCTCAGCCCACTCCAACTGATCTCGACCTACTTCCTCTACCCACGGATCGCCGACGAGAAGAGCATCAGTCGCACTGTGCCAGTCGTCTGGGCAATTTGAGATTAATTGCAGACTAGAAAGGGAGGGAAGCAGTCGGATTCTGAATGATTCGCAAAGGTACTTTGAATCTCGGTCCATAAAAGCAGCAAAAGGTGCCAAAAACATAGGGCCTTCAGGAACGAGCACAACTTCATCTCCCTGTAGTAGGTCTCTGATAGGGTCTATAAAAATATTGTATAATGTTTGTAACGGATTTGTCTCAAGACTCGAGGGATGAGATCTTGGTCTGGTAACTCTTTCTTCTGCTCGCTGTTCATCTCTCGGGTTCCTTAATGAGCGATCTTCACAATAAACATCAACATTCACACCAATTTTCTCTTGTGTTGTCTCCAACAGAGAAAGAAGATAACTCGTGACGGGAGCACAATAAACATCTTCACAATAAACATCATCATTCACACCAATTTTCTCTTGTGTTGTCTCCAACAGAGAAAGAAGATAATTCGTGACGGGAGCATCAATCTGCCTTCTTCTAGACCTGACTTCTTTTCCTCTTTCGTTCACCCAAAAAATTATTCCTTCCTCGTTGATTCCGATGAAAATTGTATTTGATGGCAGATAATTAAGGACGTCAGGGGTAGTTGCAGTCAGTGTTCCTATTTCTCGACGTGATCCTTTAAGTCCGTACTTGATTTCAAGAAGATCATTCAAGGCTTGTGCGCGGCCCTGATCAGCGGTTAAAAGTGCCTCGACAACTTTGCCTTGCTTTAACAGCAGCCGCCATAGCTTCGAATGAGCTTCATCGTACGTATTGCGTAGGCTTATCTTCCACTCATCATTAGATATAAGGTTACTCCTGATGTGGTTGAACGTTTTGACACTGTTTTCATAGTAATGAATGGCTTCTTCCAACTCGTCAAGACTGTCATAGACGCTGCCAATATTACTATACACTTTTCCTTCTTGTATCCTGTCTCCGACCGCTTTTGCAATCTTGAGATGTTGTTCGTAGAAGTCGATGGCTTTCTGAAAGTCTCCAATATCATCATAGGCGTTGCCAAGACAACCGTACGCTGTTCCTTCTCCTGACCTATCTCCGATTTCTTTGGCAATCTTAAGATACATTTCATAATGGTTTATTGCTTTTTGGAGGTTTCCAGTACCTTTGTAGGCGTTGCCAAGATTTCCATAACTAATTCCTTCTCCTGCCCTGTCTCCGACTTCTTTCTCAATCTTAACACCACGTTCATGGTATTCTATGGCTTTTTGGTATTCTCCAAGACTGGTATAGCAGTTGCCAAGGTTACTACACGCTTTTCCTTCTCCTGCTCTGTCGCCGACTTCTATGGCAATCATAAGATCTTGTTCATGGTATTCTATAGCTTTTTGAAATTCCCCAATGGTGCGATAGGCGTTGCCAAGAATACTGCATGCTATAGCTTCTCCTGCTCTGGCTCCTACTTGTTTAGCGATCTTTAGATCTTGTACACTATAGTCGATAGCTTTCTGGATTTCTCCGAGACTACGATAGGCGATGCTAAGATTACCATACGCTTTTCCTTCCCCTAACCTGTCCCCGACTTCTTTGGCAATCTTAAGATGTCGTTCATGGCACTCAGCTGCGCCCCTGAAATCACCGAGACCAGTATAAACGTTTCCAAGATTACCATAAGCGTTTCCTTCTCCTGGTCTGTCTCCAACTTCTTTGGCAATCTTTAGTTGTTGCTTAATGAAGTGTATGGCTTTTGGAAATTCTCCAAGACTGCGATAGGCGATGCCAAGATTACCATACGCTGTTCCCTCTCCTGTCCTGTCACCAACTTCTTTGGAACTTTTAATATGACATTCAATGTACTCTATGGCTTTTTGGAACTGTCCAAGATTGAGATAGACTGTACCAAGATTGCCATAGGCTATTCCTTCTTCTGCCCTATCTCCAGTTTCTTTGGCGATCATGAGATGTTGTTCATTGTAGTCTATGGCTTTTTGGAATTCTCCCAGACTGCGATAGACATTGGCAAGATTACAATAAACTTTTCCCTCTATTGCCCTGTCTCCGACTTCTTTTGCAATCCCCAGATGTCGTTCATGGTAGTCTGCGGCTTTACGGAAATCTCCAAGACTGTCATAGTTGATGCCAAGGTTACCATACGCTTTTCCTTCTCCTGCTTTGTCTCCGACTTCTTTGGTGATCGTAAGATATTGTTCATGATAGTCTATGGCTTTCTGGAATTCTGCAAGGCTGTAAAAGATATTTCCAAGATTACGAAACGCCTCTCCTTCTCCTTTCCTGTCTCCAACGTCTTTTGCAGACTTAAGGCACTGCTCGTATCGTTGTATTATATATGCGTATTTGTCAAGAAACGGATTGACGATGCTTTGAGAATCTGTAACGCTTTCTTCTTCCTTGTCTCTTGTTTGTTTAGGAACTGCGAGTCCATTTTGATGATCGTCCTTGTCGCTCATGTGATTTCTCCTCGCCATCTGAAAAAAATAACAAAGTCGTAAAGTTTTGGGCTTCAGCCCTGTTCAGTGCATGGATCAACGGCTATAGAAAGTATAGATCAAAAAATGTAAATTAAGCATGATTTTATCTGCTCGTTTTTATCGTCATTGTTTCTCTGCTCTTTGTAAAGACCAACTACTGAAACGTTTACAAGAATGCGAATTTCATGTTTTCCGTGTCTACATTAGATAAATGTAACAAAAGCACAAGACAACATGCATCGCCCGTTTTCAGGGGCACCCAACGAGAATATAGTTCAACACCACTTAAACATAACATTGTTAAACGTATTTTAGTATTTAAACGATAGATATAGGCATATTTTTATCCCCTAAAAATTCTTCATCTGTTCGGATTTCCTAGCTCAAAGTCTAGTGATCCGAAAATTTGAGGGATCAAAACTTACCTTTTCGAAAATTCCAGCCAGAAAAAAGGCTCCCGAAAATTCTAGGTGACCTTTTTAGGGTAAAAATCCGTTAAAAATAGGCAGTTAGACCATTTTTTAGATGTTCGAAAATCCTAGGAGAGGCAGGCAAGCAAGAAATTTTGCAACAACTGTTCCGAAAATTCTAGATCTCAAATCGTCTTCCGAACAGATATTTTCCGAAAATTGTCGTTGGGTGCCCCTGCGTTTTTGTCTCGTCACGCTACGATCGAGGCCATTACCAATCAGGTGACCCTAGAATGACAAGAAGGGACAAGGGCGCTTCGTTTGCGTATTTTGTTTACACTGTCCCTTTGTTTATACATTGCATTTCAAAGTTGTAATTTTTGCGATTTGAGAGCTTCTTGATTTCGCCACTACATTTAAAGCCAGTTTACTAGCTTTTAATATCAATTTGGTGACCATATGTAAGCAACCTTTAATTCCTTTGGCCAGTGTTAGCAGTCACAAAGGTCTTTTATTATTTTCTTTTTTCTCTTCTGTGTTTTGGGCCACTTAATGTAAACTAGATCACTCTCATGGTTTCGACATGTTCGGTCAGATTACTGATATAAGTTAAGATAGTCGCAACGGTAGCTTTATTCAGTCAACGCCTGTTTTTATGGACATCCTCGAAACTGACTTGGACCTTAAGCGTCCTTATTAATGGCGAGAGTGCGCGTAACAGCGGGACGATACGGGAAAACTTTTCTCAGAAAACATTTTCATTGGAGGGGTAAAATTTATTTACATTTACAATAATTTCGATTTAACGCGCTTTCAACAGAAAAATCGAAAATCGATCCAATCCGGCAAACTGACGAGAAATTAAAATAATGATAGAAATTCCGGTGAGACCATAATATACTTCTATTGATGTCTGAATGTTGAAAGAGTCAGAACACTGAAAAAATAGTGCTCTCGTGACCTAGAAAAGTGTCCGACGGGAGTTGTTCCTGTCAATTTCAACGTCTGTAAATTTTGACAGGGATTTATCTGCTGCCCGTATAACCAAACGGGGTGCCTTAACATCGAACTGTCTGCATGGCGAGAATGGCGGGACTGTAAAACAACTTACCAACGATTAGCCCTATAAACGATCGCTTCCTCATCGTCGAATAACAGCAGTTTTGTATATACTCACTTCGACGCACCTTGTGTTGAAGTATATTAGTTTTAGTTTCCTCCTCTTCGGCAGAGAGTCACTGAGGACGGCAATTAGAGACCCAAGGCAAACTACAGCTGAAACTATTCAGTGAATAAGTTCAGCTAACTGCATGCCTACCCTCAACCGTAAATTCCCCCAGGTTTCTAACATCCCAGGGGTGGGGGTACTCCGGATTTCAAGTGACAGGGATGACCGAAGGCTTCTTTGGGGTTCGAAATTTGCGATTTCAGGATTTTTGGGGGGTCGGAAAATTTTTGCAAGTATTTTTTTGGTAGCTTGATTTAAGTAGGGATTTTTTTGGGTAATCAAAACGATCTGAAGATTCGTGATAGTTTATCATTTAATGCTTTCTGGGAATTTTTATTGCTTGGAAATTCGGCATAAAATTTTGGTTCAGGGATTTTTTGGATTTTGTTTGAAGCCCTAGGGATTTTTTGGGGTTTTGACTTTTGCCCCCATTCGATCATCTCTGTCGCTTCAAATCCGAAGTAACAAACTCGTTCGAATTTGAAGGGTTTTACCCTAGGAACGAGGTTGCAAAATATTCAGAGCTGTGAACCTTCTCATCCTCCTCCTCATCCGGGTCATCATCATCATCGTCATCATCATCATCATCATCATCGTCATCATCATCATCGTCATCATCATCATCATCATCATCATCATCATCATCATCATCATCATCATCATCATCATCATCATCATCATCATCATCATCATCATCATCATCATCATCATCATCATCATCATCATCTTCATCGTCATCATCCTCATTATCATCATATCCTTTATTTAAACACGATAAGATTGAAAGCTTAATGCTTGTAGGATCGTGTAAACATAATTACAATATAGAACTATAGGGGATTACTCTCTGTTGGGCCTGCATGTCCCTGATTACTAGGGTTTGCATCTTGTCACCTTAGACGGTTACTTGATAGAGCTTTGAGAGTCAGCCGTCAAACAGCCGAAACTTATTTGACCGTCAAAAAAGGTAATTTTTTACCTCCAAGCGTCCAAAATGCAGATTAATATTAACTGTCAAAAAGTGTCAAGGTATTTCAAATCTAATTTCAGCACTGAAGCACACGTACCATGGGATGTAATGGCCAGTATCTTAAGCATGCGCACAACCAGAAAACTATAGTGGCATCCATGGACATGGTTGTGCGCATGCCTAAGGTACTGGCCATTACGCGGAGTTGGTACGTGTGCTTCAGTGCTTAAATTAGTATTATTTCAAATCTCGCTATTCCAGCTGATCTTCACGGAACTCTGGCGCCTGAAGAATATACGAACTGGAAAAGCCAGTTCCCGTGTTCTCAAAAACGTTCTCTCTAGACAATACAAGACCTGAAAAACTGCTTTTGTCTGAAATTATTTTGAAAGGCCAAGACAACCTTTTATACAACACAACAGTTAATATAAATTTAAACAGAAGTTAAAAGTGAATTCTTTTAAGAGCAGTCCGCGGCTTTTTAAAGAGCTTATTTATTATTCATATATAGTGTCCTCTAATTACTTTTTGACCACTACACATTGATAAAGTAATTGATTATTCTTATTTCTGTTTTTAATTTTTTTGTGAAGAGCCTTAGAGCTTTTGGACGTACAGCGCTATAGAAGTACGATATCATATCTATGTTTGTTAAAAGATTCTCTCTTGACATGGAGTGATGTTTTATAATGAAATATAGTGAACAAATTGATACGATAGAAAAAAGGCTCAAAAAACATCAGAATGGAAGGATGCAGAAGTGATGTGTTAATTAATTCGAATAGAATGAAATTCAGTAATAAATGTTTACACAATCTTTAAGTTGACTGTAAATTTTGAACTACGTGCACCGGTGAGAATACGAACTGAGATTGATTACACTTTGCGTATTGAAGAAAAGAAATCGCAATCTGTAGATTACCCCCAAAATACAGTTATGTCGTGAAACGGTACGATCTTGTCTAACTGTCTTAACAAGTAAATGAGATTGGTTTAATTGTTCTTGTTCAAACACTGAGTAAAAAAGCTGTTTAAACTTTGTTGTATTGGTTTATAATACTGTGGAAAACACTCTCAAGTAGCCACACAAGCTCGAGCAATTGATTTTTCTGAGAACTTGTTATTCTTTTTCGTATTTTTATTGTTGCCTGAATTTAGTTTAGTTGCCTTTATGTTATCACTCGGTTTACTTTCTTGTTAGTTTTCTCAAATATACATATTTTTTTCTGTAACTTCAATTCTCGGCGTTGCGTTATGTGATCGTCATTTCGCCCATTTAAATCAGTCGTCGGTTGTATCCGGAATTGCCGAACACTCGTAAGTATAGTTTGTCCTGCATTTTTGCTTGTATCATTACTCGATTTTTTTTGTCGGCACCAATGTTTCCTTTTTTGGCAAAGTCTTTCAGTTCTCGTTTAACAGTTCTGCAGTTTCCTGTGTTTAAACTTGTTATAGTGAGTAAATGGATTTTCACCTCTTCAGTCGCTTTATCGTGGGGCTTGTTATTGGCCAATACCTCTGTGAAAAGGATAAGGAAAAGGAATGTTGCCTCAAAAAACTTTCTTCAGTTTCTTTTCCAGTTAACGTTAATATTTTCATTACTTGCTCAAAAGAAGTCAGAACCAATTCGAATAAGTGGAGAGAAAAATCTAAAATGAGCCAGGGCATTACTGTTTTCACAGAGGAGAACGACATTTTCGAAAATGTTGCAATAACAACTGGTACGATTGTCGGCTTTTTGACGGAAACATGACGATCGAAAACTTTCTATGGTAGAACTTCTTCTTTCCACTATGATTCCATAAGCATTGTTTTCAGTTGCTTTGTTTTTCTTCGTGATTGTTCTTTTCTCAAGCAAAAGGCTTTATTTGACACGCAGTGAAGTGCATGTACTCTGTAAATTATGTTTTGGTACTCAACCTCTCTTACCTGAAGTGCAACAGATTCTTTGTAGCCTAAGGCCATTTGAGTGTTGATGCCAATGTCAAAAAACAGCTGCCCTAATAGTGATTATGAAATTCATTCAGTCGAAACTAAAACGCTATCATACGAACGACCTCAATACTTGGTCAGAATTTGAAAGTAAAACTAATATCTCTTCGTAGCACGTCACAAAATATTTCATTTGAAAGCGGGCTCTTCGCGTTTTTCTTCTTCGATAATAAATAGAGGACACAGCATCTTCCAACCCCTCCCTTTCTTCCAGCACCGACAACAAAAAGGCGATCAACCTCAGGATGAATATTCATTACTAACTGCAACCAATAGCCGAGTTTCCATTGTCGTCATTTTTACAGCCAATTTCTCTCTTCAACAAGAAGATTTTGCAGTCGGAAAGCATAAACTATCTGTGGCCGTGGGTCTGATAGGGTAATATCGGTTACTGCTTATTGTTGTTCAGTGTTGTAAATAAGGTTAATTTGGTTGTCAACAAACACTGGTTTATATTTTATAGCTGCTTTCCAACCAAAGTGCTTACGATTATTTTTTTCCAGCAAGATTGCATCATTTAGGGTACGTATAAACTCAGTGGGAATGATTAATTTGCTATAACTGTCCTGCAAAGCCCATGCATTTTTTTTATCTCAAATTATGTGCGGGTAAAATGCCAAAAACATATTAATGATGGTCTCACATATTCGCTGCATCTATGCTTAAGTTTCATTTTGGGAATTATAAGTGTCGTACACTGTTTAGCAAGACAAACAAGGGCGTAGTCAGTAATCCTTTGAACTGCGCGATGTTGAACGAAGGGCTCTTCCATGTAAGGTGGTTTTAAACGAAATCCTTTTTTTTAACTTTTCAAATGAAACCTGTTCAGCGATACTTTTGCATGGCACTACTAACTTTTCGACATTTAACCAAATGAAATTTGGAAACTCATTGTTGAAGTGCACTTTGTTATAACCGCAACAACAAACCGCAATTTCCATCCCGACCCCTCCCCTTGTGCGTGAGAACGGAGAATGAAGTTGTCTTTTCACATTAGCGATCTTCCCCTTTCGCGCCTGGAAGCTAATTCGAGGATTTACGTTATTGATCTCATCATAACTTTTTTTTGCCTTCAAGACAGAAAGAAACATGGTTGTAAAGAAAATAGTTCTCATTTTCCTAATTGGCCTATTTACAGTGGATCTGGCACAGATCGGAGCATCAGGTAAAAATCCATTTAAGTTAGACAGGAATTCTATAACCCCAGAGACTCCATCCGCCACATTTAAAACCTCTTATGATAATAATGGAAACATTGTATGTGTTTTTGAATGTACAATTCCAAATCTCGCTACGTATAGGCAATTTACAAATGCTGCTTGAGATTGGATTAATCAAAAAAAGAAAAGAAAGAACAGAAAAGACATCAAAATTGCATTAAGTCTGGGCTATCCCAATTCCTTTTTCTAAAACAAAAGATGAAATATGTTGCTCTAATGGCTATACAGTTAACTCGCGATAACTCGAGCCCTCGCTAACTCGAACCTCGCGCTAACTCGAACCAAGGTCGATTTCCCCTGGATTTCCCTCAAACGTTTACTGTAATTTTACCCTCGGTAACTCGAACCTACCGCTAACTCGATGTAGGTTTTGTTTCCCCTCAGATCATTTCTCTATAATTTTACCCTCAATAACTTGAACTGTGTTTTGAGCCTTTAAAAATACGGGAAAAAAACAGTGTGCTGGCGTCCAAAACATTGGATTTGGAATCACTTCCCCTTGACCTGTTGTAGGCATATAGTTTACTAGTGGAGGGTGATGTTGTTTGTCACAAATCTAACGTGAAACAGCTTTACCAGTCTCAAACAGTAAAACGCATGCTCTTAATATTAGGCTATGTGTTGTTACGTTTCTTTCTGCTTGATAATCTAGAAGTATCTTTTAATTTTAGCTTGGCATATTCTACAACTGAATGTGATTAAAATGTTCACTGTGCTGTAAAAACTGTTCTTTTCCTTACTCCCGTGCCTATTTTCTTCGAGCTCCCGATAACTCGAACTGTTTTCAATTTCCCTTAAAGGTTCGAGTTATCGGGAGTCGACTGTATTGAAAATATATAAAAAGCATGCATTACGTCAAACTTAGCCAAAAAAATTTTCAGTTTTCATATCTTTACTTTAGAATTTGACGAATGTAAAGACTACGAACAACTCGACGACAGTCAGCGTGCTGCAGGTGTGCACAGAGGAAATACTCTGAAATGTGACCAGAAAGACCTGACCACCCCTAACTGGTACAGGTTTATTGGAAACGCTGGTATTCAGATGCCAACCTCCTGTGTTCCAGTACATTACTGTGGAGCACATGCACCTGGATGGTTAAGCACTCCGCATCCAACAAATGTCGGACAGATTGTTAATGGCACAGTGTGCTTTAACTGGGGTGATAAGTGTTGTAACTGGCATGCAAACATCCAGATAAAGAGATGTAATGGATTTTACGTTTACAAACTGGTTAAAACACCTGTATGCTGGTTACGGTACTGTGGAAATGCAGGATTCGGTGAGTGAAGGGGTCGAACCATTAATTCAGTTGTAAAATATCTCTACGTATTAAGAACGAAGATAACTAAGGGTGGATTTCCACTATCGCGTAATTTTCACATGAGTACGCACTTTTTTAGGCGCTTAAATAAAATTGAGGCGATGTATGACTGGGCCGCGCGTAAACTTAAAAGTTGAGCGAGGTTCAACTTTTACGTTTAAGCGTGACCTTCCTACATTGCCTCTATTTTATTTACGCGTATAAAATCTACGTGTATGTGTACGCACATAAAACTTAAGTGACAGTGGAAATCCGCCTTAAAGTGTAAGCATGTATGTCATTGGGAAATTGTAGATTTAACAAATATAATTAATTAACTAACTTATTTATTCATTTTACATCTCCCAAAAACTCCTCAGACCCATGTGAAGCAAGCAAGCCTTGTCAAAACGGCGCAACATGTGTTAATAACAACAATGATTACATCTGTAACTGCAAGCCGGGTTACCAAGGGAGGAACTGCGAACAAGGTAAGTAACCAACATTGTTTTTTTCCATTTATGAAAGTAGAACAAAAAATTTATATTGTGCCGTTTAAAGTAATATTTAGGAGGCTTGTTTTTAGAAAAGTCGTACAGAGAAAACTATTTCTAGGAATCTGTTTTTAACGAGCGTAATTTGTTTTTTGGAAATTTTGCCTGATGAAGAAAAATAAGAATATTTAACAATTATTCCTCGAGCCCGAATGGGCTCTGAGTCAATAGCCCATGACGGACGAAGGCCGAATGGGGCAATTGACTCAGAGGCTATAAGGGCAAGAGGAATAATTGTTTTAGTAACATCCAACTAGATGGTAAAAAATATCGAGAATAAAAAAGTTTTAGCTACTTAAAGCTGGACTTTAATCCTTTTTTGCCGCCGAAAAGCCGGCGCTTTTCGCTACTAGTGGGCTATAACATATAGCCTAGTAGTAGCTCAACCAATCAGAACGCAGCATTGATAATAGACCACTAGTTAGATTTTACTAAACGTTGATAACACTGCTTTACTTGCAGACGTCGATGAGTGTACCTCTACACCTTGTCGCAATGGAGGAACATGTGAAAACCTTCCAGGAAGCTACAAGTGTGAATGCAAGCCTGGATTCTTGGGCAATGACTGTGAAATCGGTACATATTTTGCATTCTTAATGAATTTTGATTTGTTACGTTACATCAAGTTCTATCTGTGATTGTTTTTATCCGAAAAAACGTTGATTACGTAGGATGGTTCATTGCTTCATCCTAAAAAGGCCAAAGAAAAAAAATACTTATGAAGCCAGTGTACAGCTACAGTTGACTCTCCGGATAACTCGAACCCGCCACTAACCGGCGAAGTAGTTTTCGTTTCCTCTCAGATCATTTCTATATAATTTTACCCTCGATAACTCGAACTGTGTTTTGAGCCTTTACAAAGACGAGAAAAAAAAAACAGTGTGGTGGTGTCCGAAACATTGAATTTTTATTTAATTACTTGCCATTGACGTGTTGTAGGCATATAGTTTACCAGTCAGGGGCATCCAATGTCAATTTTCGGAAAATATCTGTTCGAAAGACGATTTGAGATCTAGAAATTTTCGGAACATTTGTTGTACAATTTCTTGCTTGCCTTCCTCTCCTAAGATTTTCGAACAACTAAAAATGGTATAATTGCCCATTTTTAACGAATTTTACCCTAAAAAGCTCACCTAGAATTTTCGGGAGCCTTTTTGCGGCTGAAATTTTCGAAAAGGTAATTTTTGTTCCCTATAATTTTCTGATCACTAGACTTTCAGGTAGGAAATTCGAAGAGATGAACAATTTTTAGGGGATAAAAATATGGCTATATTTACCGTTTAAATACTAAAATACGTTTAACAATGCTATTTTTAAGTGGTTTTGAACTATATTCTCGTTGGGTGCCCCTAACTAGTGGAGGCTGAAGATGTTGTTTGTCACTAATCTAACGTGAAACAGCTTTACCAGTCTCAAAACAGTAAAACGCATACTCTTAATATTAGGCTACGTGTTGTTACGTTTCTTTCTGCTTGATAATCTAGAAGTATCTTTTAATTTTAGCTTGACACTTTTACAATTGAATGTGATTAAAATGTTCACTGTGCTGTAAAAACTGTTCCTTTCCTTACTCCCGGGGCTATTTTCTTCGAGCTCCCGATAACTCGAACTGTTTTCGATTTCCCTTGGAGGTTCGAGTTATCGGGAGTCGACTGTATTGAAAATATATAAAAAGCATGCATTACGTCAAACTTAGCAAAAAAATTTCAGTTTTCATATCTTTACTTTAGAATTTGACGAATGTAAAGACTACGAACAACTCGACGACAGTCAGCGTGCTGCAGGTGTGCACAGAGGAAATACTCTGAAATGTGACCAGAAAGACCTGACCACCCCCGAGTGGTACAGGTTTATTGGAAACGCTGGTTTTCAGATGCCAACCTCCTGTGTTCCAGTACATTACTGTGGAGCACATGCACCTGGATGGTTAAGCACTCCTCATCCAACAATGGTTGGACAGATCGTTAATGGCACAGTGTGCTTTAACTGGGGTGATAAGTGTTGTAGCTGGAATGCAAACATCCAGATAAAGAGATGTAATGGATTTTACGTTTACAAACTGGTTAAAACACCTGTATGCTGGTTACGGTACTGTGGAAATGCAGGATTCGGTGAGTAAAGGGGTCAAATCCATTAATTTTTTGTAAAATATCTCCAAGTAAAGAACCAAGATAACTAAAATAACCAAAATCGATCGTTGAACTTTGTAAGCGACAGAATAAAGCTTGTTTACAGGATTAACAATATTTGTCTTCCCTTTGAAGCTTCTAAAACAACAATTTATAGGCCGCAAACTTCCCAATTAAAGTCCATATCTAAATTTAATTTGGAAGAACTTTGAAAACTATATAATCTTTTATACTCTACTTTGAGGCAGGTGAAACAGAACTCATAAATCATGAAATACGTGCGTTGTAGTACCGTTCTCGATAGCCAAATTAGGTCAAATGTCTTGAAGCAGCACCCACACTAAAATATGGATCCATCAACAGCTACGTCACTTTACTCAGCGTTTGAACCATGAAGATATATAAATGTTATGCTTTTAAACACCTTTAGTCGTAATAAAAGACATAAAAATTGTGAATTATAGCGGTCTCTAAGTGCCCTTGTTTGACCTTAAGTAATGCCATTAACGATTAGATGCCAAAATCTTATTGGTTCTTATGCATCAACTCATAGTACCTTGAACGTTATTGGCCCCTGTAACAAACATCCGAACATACAAAGCCACAAAGCCACAAAGATACATACGCTCAAACCACGGACATAAGAGCTATTTTTTCAAAATAGCTCAAAAGGGGACTCTATAACATCCCAAGAGGGAAGATCGCCAAAGTTTACGAGGGAAAAAATGTGATGTCCGTCCTTCTCTCTTGACGGGACCGTACCCAATTTTATGTCGTGTAAACGGACTTTAAGCTTTACGTCATTACTCGGGATTAGTTTTAAATTTGTTTTCTCCATTAATCCCTACCATAATGGCCCAAGTTTACACTCAAAGAGCGTCTTTTTTCAAATGCTTCTGGCCTACGGGAACTCTAATGAGCTTTATTTAACTCTACAGTTCCTGACAAAAATAATTTCCAGTTCAACTATCCCAACAAAGTCATCGACGACTACGTCAGGCTCGATGTGTCGTCTTCGGCTTCAGATGTCACTGCTTTTACTGTCTGTATGTGGATAAAAGTTGGCGATCAGTCGGATGACGGGACTTTGTTTAGTTACGCCACCGAAGATCAAGACAATGAACTCCTAATAACCGACTACTCAAGATTCAAGATTTTGATTGGTGGCAGAAAAGTGTAGGTTTCAGGGAATCATTAGCATGAGGTCTAGAAAGAGAGCCCTGTGCTCGCATTCCCGCTCGTTATTCACGAGAGTCCCGCATTCCCACTTCTTTTTCACGAGTGTCCCGCATTCCCCACTCCTAGTTCACGAGAGTCCCGCATTCCCACTCCTTTTTCACGAGAGTCCCGCATTCCCACTCCTTTTTCACGAGTGTCCCGCCTTCCCCACTCCTTTTTCACGAGCGTCCCACCTTTCCACTCCTTTTTCACGAGAGTCCCGCATTCCCGACTTCTCTCATCGCTACAATCCCGAATATCATTTTCTTTCCGCCCGATTCAGCATCTGTGCCCAAATTTTGGCGAATCCCGCTTCCGGGTAGCAATCAAATCCCGTATCCTGTTGACGTTTTCTGAATCCTGCACTGTATTTTGGTCCTGTTCGTGGGCAACATAACAAACTCGCTTCCAGAGGCTGCAATCTGTTTTGTCAGCGCGAAGGCTCTGGTGACGAGATTGGAAACACAAAAGTAAACGAGTGTAATAGTCATGCGCAGAAGAGGGGCGGCGACAGTGAAAAAGTCATTGACGTTCTGCTGTTATCAAAAATATTCCAAAATCCTTGCTTTGCCAAATGCATCACTCAGATTACGTCAAATTTTCTTGGATTTGAATGCGAGGGTTAACTGTTTTAAATAAATATTATGATGTTGAACACAGAGTTAAGGAAACAATAACTTTAGAAGTTTGAGAGAAAAATCAGTTGAAACTTTAAAGACCTAATTAATTATTTAGCTAGTCCAGTTTTTTCGTAGAATGATAGGTGTTTCTGTATAACCATTTTCTTTTACTAAATATCTAGGAGAAGTTGGCGAGAAAAGGGAAAACCGCGCCCGTAGCTTTACGCACTACGCAGACTCCAGTGGGTTTTTCATTCAGCCGAAAAAAACGGACTATTAAAACTCTTGAAAATATTCTTCACAGGACACTAGATGGGGTAACTGCCAATGATGACGAATGGCACCACATTTGTACAACCTGGGAGAATGGCGAGGGTTCGTGGCACTTTTACATTGATGCTGAACTGAAGGGAAGTGGAAGCGATTTCCAAACGGGTCATGTGATCAGCAGTGGTGGGATTGTCATCCTCGGCCAAGATCAAGACAAATACGGAGGTGGATTCGACCGTGACCAGAGTTTTAACGGCAAAATGTTTGGCGTGAACATGTGGGATTATGAAATGTTGGGGGACGAAATTGCGCAGTTGTCTTCAAGTTGCTTTGGTCCAGACGGCAATTATCTAAAATGGAGCGATTTCAAGGGCGGTGAAGAAGGGGATGTGGAAATTGAAGCACCGACAACATGTCTTCCCTTGCAATAAGCATCCACTGATGAATCAGCTACTTAAATTTAGGCTATAAGAGGACTAGAGTAATTGTAGATTGCTATCGGAGGTGTATTAAAAGTAATGCAAGTATATATGTCCTTTAAGTGGTTCAATTTGTTTTAAAATGCATTAAAAACTGATCTTTTCTCTTTTTAACTCCTTAATCCTTCAGGAAAATCGACATCAAACCTCGTCCAAACGCTTTTCAAGTTTGTATACAATCTCGTATCCAGCGACTCTGGGTACGAGATGGCATGTGGCCTGCTTTCGAAAGACAGTCTATTTAGGTCCAAATGTAGTAACAAAATTTGCGAGTGAATATTTACATCAGAAAACGCAAACGATTTCAAAATAATTTCAATACAGAAATCTGGCTTGAACAGAATATGCGGAATGGAAAGGCAACTTAGAAGCCTCGCACACAATCTCTACCACAAACTGTTTTGTTACCCTTAAAGCTTGGGAACAAAATTGGCCACGTCCGCGA